GGGAACAGAAGAAAACTCTGAGCCATTGCCTGATGTTCTTCAGTTTGAGAAAATCCCTTTTTCCTCTTGCTTTCCCTACATGGCAGGAAGGAAAAAGGGGCTGCATTTACTGGGCAAAACCTTGCTGTGCCAATTCTGCTATTTCCCTATTTGCCAATAATGCAAAAAAACAAAAATCAAGATTTTAAGATGTATACCTTCACCTTTTGGGGCCAGAGTCCCTGAAGCCTCCCCAGAGTGGCTCTGTGCAGGCAGAATGCATTCTGTTCATTCATTCATTCACACAGTGCGTTCTGTCTGCTCCCTTTGCTGCTTTTTGCAACTTTATTGTTTTTTTTTTTTTCTTTCCCCATTGCTTTGTGTATTGGCTCTGAGAGCAAGGTGCTGGTGAGAGCAGAGCCTGGGGCTGTGGGACTGTCACTGCAAAGGTGTGCCTCTGTCAGTTTGTCCCCTGCCTGTGGGACTTTTTCTGGACCATTTTCTAGACCTGTGTGAGGGTCACAGCCCTAAAAGATGTGCCTTTGTCCCCTGGCTGTGGGACTGTCCCTGCAAAGGTGTGCCTCTGTCAGTTTGTCCCCTGGCTGTGGGACTTTTTCTGGACCTGTGTGAGGGTCACAGCCCTACAAAGATGTGCCTTTGGCAGTTTGTGCCCTGGCTGTGGGACTGTCACTGGTTCCCTGGTCCATTTTCTGGTCCTGTGTGAGGGTCACAGCCCTTCAGAGAGTGTCTGGGGCCTTTGTCCCCTGGCTGTGGGACTGTCACTGCCAAGGTGTGCATTGGCAATTTGTCCCCTGGCTGTGGGACTTTTTCTGGACCATTTTCTAGACCTGTGTGAGGGTCACAGCCCTAAAAGATGTGCCTTTGTCCCCTGGTTGTGGGGCTGTCACTGGTTCCCTGGGGCACACCCTGGACCTGTGTGAGGGTGACAGCCCTACAAAGATGTGCCTGTGTCAGTTTGTGCCCTGGCTGTGGGACTGTCACTGCTTCCCTGGTCCATTTTCTGGTCCTGTGTGAGGGTCACAGCTCACCAAAGAGTGTCTGGGGCCTTTGTCCCCTGGCTGTGGGACTGTCACTGCAAAGATGTGCCTTTGGCAATTTGTGCCCTGCCTGTGGAATTGTCACTGCCAAGGTGTGCCTCTGTCAGTTTGTCCCCTGGCTGTGGGACTTTTTCTGGACCATTTTCTGGACCTGTGTGAGGGTGACAGCCCTACAAAGATGTACCTATGTCAGTTTGTCCCCTGGCTGTGGGACTGTCAGTTCTGCCCTGAGCCATTTTCTGGAGCTGTGTGAGGGTCACAAACTTAAAAGTGTGCCTTGGCAGTTTGTCCCCTGGCTGTGGGACTGTCGCTGGTTCCCTGGTCCATTTTCTGTTCCTGTGTGAGGGTCACAGCCCTTCAGAGAGTGTCTGGGGCCTTTGTCCCCTGCCTGTGGGACTGTCACTGCAAAGATGTGCCTCTGTCAGTTTGTCCCCTGGCTGTGGAACTTTTTCTGGACCATTTTCTAGACCTGTGTGAGGGTCACAGCCCTAAAAGATGTGCCTATGTCAATTTGTCCCCTGGCTGTGGGACTGTCAGTTCTGCCCTGAGCCATTTTCTGGAGCTGTGTGAGGGTCACAAACCTAAAGGTGTGCCTTGGCAGTTTGTCCCCTGCCTGTGGGACTGTCACTGCTTCCCTGGTCCATTTTCTGGTCCTGTGTGAGGGTCACAGCCCTTCAAAGAGTGTCTGGGGCCTTTGTGCCCTGGCTGTGGGACTGTCACTGCAAAGATGTGCCTCTGTCAATTTGTGCCCTGGCTGTGGGACTGTCACTGCAAAGATGTGCCTGTGTCAATTTGTCCCCTGCCTGTGGGACTGTCACTGGTTCCCCGGGGCACACCCTGGTCCTGTGTGAGGGTCCCAGCCCTACAGAGCTGTCCCCTTTGTCCCCTGGCTTTGGGGCTCCTGGTTATGTAACCGTGCCCTCCCTCCCCTCGTTCCGTTGCTATGGAGCTG